ACCAGGAGCAGGGGAACCTAGTGATGGACTGATTCAAGCAGAGGGGGGGCGACGGCGACTCAGGGTTCGGCGCCGAGCGGATACTTGGTGGAGGAGATGCCGGCTGGAGGCGCGGGGGAGGAAAGCGTGGTGTCCCTTAGTAGTAATGATGCGGAGCAGGCGAGATCAGAGTAGCGAGGCCCCGTGGGGCCATGAGGGTTTCGAGCGCGCTTGCGCCGCGCTTCAGCCATTGGGCTTGGGCTGGGGGGCCGAACGCGCCTGGCAGACGAGCCGAGCTGGGCGCGGACGTCGGATGTAGTCAGATTGTCGCGCGTTCCCCGCTCCTTTATGCTATCTCTTCTCTCGCCCTTCGCTCGCTCGTGTCCCTGGCCTGCCCCTGAATCGGCCCCCCTTCCTGGTCGGCCCTTTCGCTGTCTAGGACATGCGAGGCATTTTGCCACGCGCACTCAAACACCAGTTCCAATCGAGAGGGTTTTTTGTTTTGCACTGCGCTGATAGTGGTGTTAATAGACATTCGATTCAACATCCCACAGCCGATAGCAAGCAAACAAGCTCCTCCTCCTCCTCCTCCTCGTTGGTGCCGCGGTGTGCCGAACCTTCGGCGCTGCGAGCCGAACCCGATTCGTCTCAAACCCACCCTTCAACCGAGCGGTGGTCCTCCTCCTGCTCCTCCTCCTCCTCCTTGTCCTTGTCCTCGTCCTCTTCCTCCTCCTCCTCCTCCTCCTCCTCCTTTTTCTCCTCTCCACCCCCGCCGTCGCCGCCTGCGGTTCAGGCCGTCGGACGGATTGCTCTCTACGGTCGTCGCCTGTTCCTCCTACCCCCGCCCGAGAGGAGGTGGCGAACCCCCTCGTGGTGAGCCCCCGTGGCGCTGCCCGGGAGGGCGCCCGCTCCCCACCCCGAGCCGACGCGGTTCTCGCTCGTTTTCGTGGGCCCCTCCGGCGGTTTAGCCTTCCAGCCTGGGCGGCGCCAGGACATCGCTGAAGGGGCCCTGGGACACACAAGTAAAAATATTCCCAATATTTTCCAATATTTTTTTTTTCGTCCACCCCCCACTTCCTATATTTTCCAATATTTTCTGGGGGATCGACGATTAATTGTGTCTGTGTGTTTTTCCCCTCCTGAATCGCGACGGCCAGTTTGGCGCCAGTCTCGGCCTCAGGAGGACGTTTTCTGGTCCTTTGGGCCGCCAGCCATAAACTGTTCAGTATAAGCAACCCTTGCGATCCGCGCGTTGCAGTTGTGTCCACAGGGCGTGTTTGCCCGGCCGGCTTCGGGCCCCATCAGTATCACACATCGAGCCGGTTCGAGACCATGCGAACAAAAAGATGGGCTCTAAGCCTTTGGACGAATATTCTTCGCGATTTTGTTATTTCTTGTCTTGTCTTGGCCCCTTTCTGTCTGTCTGTCTGTCTGTTTCTGTGTCTGTCTGTCTGTCTGTCTGTCTGTCTGTCTGTCTGTCTGTCTGTCTGTTTGTC